GTAAGAGCTCCAACCTGCAGCTGTCAGGTTTAAGCATAAGTGTTTACTGACACAACAGAGGGCTTTTATTCATTTATTTTTAAATATTTCTCTCTTCTTGATTAGTTTCTGACTTCTCAGAGAAGCCCAGAGGCTCAGATTTGGGTACAAAAAGGTGAATTCAGTTTGAAATTCCTCATTCAAGATGATAAAACGTGGAGAGCTTAGTGAATTAAAGCGCTTCACGATGCTGGACGGTCTATAAATATATATAAATATACACTCAGTGCTTAACAGGTTGGACAGGTGGTCTCATACGTTTGTATGTAAGTGGTATTTTGTCGACTCCTCTCCAGGAACAAATGATGCGTAAGAAGCAGGCGCAGCACCTGGACGCCCGCTACGTGACCATGGTGGAGAACGCCTACTACTACTGCAACCCTCCGCCCATGGAGAAGACGGTGAAGAAGAAGAGGCCTCCGCTGCAGGAGTACATCCGCAAGCTGCTCTACAAGGACCTGTCCAAAGTGACCACGGAGAAGGTGCTGCGGCAGATGAGGAAGCTGCCCTGGCAGGACCCCGAGGTGAAGAGCTACCTGATCTGCTGCATGGTCAACATCTGGAACGTCAAGTACAACAGCATCCACTGCGTGGCCAACCTGCTGGCCGGCCTGGTGGCCTACCAGGAGGACGTGGGCATCCACGTGGTGGACGGGGTGCTGGAGGACATCCGGCTGGGCATGGAGGTAAAAACCACACCTGATCCAGGTTGTTTATGGAGCATCTGGGAGTTGAGCAAACGGACAGGAGACAACAAAAAATGTGCATAAACAATACGACAGAAAACTTGAAAGAATAAAAAACAGAAAGAACAGGAACTCAATGTAAAAAACAACCAAAAAACTCAACTATTAAGACCATGATGAGCAACCAGAATCCATTTCAAACATCTTCAGATTTTTATTAAAAACATCAACGAAGGAGGAACATTTGATCGAACCAGGAAGGATTCAGTTCAAAGTTTTGAGGATGTAAGACGTCTTGAGGTAGAGCAGGGACAGAGAAGCTCTCAAACCGAATCATTAACAAACAAAAGAACTTTAAAATCTGTGTATTTAACAGTTAGTCGGTGCTGAGATGCTGTTTTTAAACAGAGAAAAGAACGACTGAAACATAGAAATGCACTGATGTGAAGTTTCCGTGACGACTGACGATTATCTGCTTTTTGAGACCGAGACAATAAAATAATGACTAATGTTTATTTTAAAAATGTGAAAATGCAGAAATCTTTTTAAAATTTTGGTTTATTTTTCAAACGCAAAACCGTTATTAAAGGATGCTCTCTAGAAGATGGGATACGTGCTGCTATTTTAAAGAATACGTGACAGAAAAAGTTTATGTCTTTAGTTTCCTCTTCCATAAAGTGCTGCTGCACACCTGTTCAACTTGTCAGGTTGTTCTTTCACATCGAGTAATAATAAAAAAATACGATTTTGCCGCCCACAAAGGTAAATCATCAGCACCTAAATGATAAGAACTGAGATTTTTTCTTTTAAGAAGTGTAATTTTTCACCAGTTTTGTTCATTGAAGTTCATTCACTTGAGCTTTATAAACATCTTTGCGTCAGAAATAACATTTTTTTTCCAAATAAGACAACAAAGACTGATGTTTATTGTTCAGTTACTCTCTGAACACCCGTTCTGAGCCGATGATACCTCCACTTCTCAGTAATAATAACACGTAATAGTATATTTTCTATCTATAAATCAAATCTTTTCATTATTACACATGTGCAGCCTGCAATAAATGGTGCTTTACATACGTTTGGATGAATTAATGATGAATTAAAGCTGCAGAACTTTGCAGTTCAGCACCTTTAAAGTGTGTTTAAAGTGTAAAATATAGCTGTAGCCAACTAAAAGCAGACAATTATCATTTATTTATCATATTTCTCTGACTGCCAGCATGCATAGTGAACAGATTTTGCCATCGCCGCCTATAATTGTGTAATTCTCGGCTCTAATTCCATCATTTAGGTGATAAGCTGCGGTTTAATTTTCTTACGTAATCGCCTCTGAGCTACCAGCTGCTGAAATACGTCCTCTGAGGCAGTCGAACTCGTGTGTCGAGCAGCTGACAGGTTTGTTCCTGAAGTGGAGATCGGTGGGATTAGCCGAACAGAAAACAAAACCAGATGCTGCTGATCCTGACTGACGTTTCAGAGGAAGCGTAACGTAACTCTGACAACAAGTCGACCTGTTTCAAAGAGTCGAAGCGTGTGAACGTTCAGCTGCTCGCGTCGGAAACCTGCTGCTTCAGATCAAACCCAGAACCAGCGCGGTCGAGTTTATTTAACAGCAGGAGAGTTACAAATGTTGTTCTTGTTTTTTTTCCCTCCACAGTATTTTAGTTTATTTATATGAAAACAGCCAGTTTACAGCTTTATGTGTTTGATTATGTATAAAAATCACACTGAGTGCAGCAGCACAGACGTCCAAAATAAATGTTTATGAGACATTTTCCAAAATCCAGAGCTTCACAAGAGAGTAAATGAAGAAAGAAAAGTCTTAAAATCATCCTAATTTTGTTGTTTATTCATTATTTAGTACCACAGATTATGACTTTATTTATTATTTTTATTTTTTTCTCGCCTTTGCCTTTATTTTTTTAATATTTATTATCACTGTCGATCAATTTTGCCGACTTTATTCACAAAATCTTTGCCCCTCAGATCTTAAACTGGTAAAAATAACACATATTTTACTAATAAAAAGCTGGAATTTTGATGTTTTTATCTCGAGAGCTCACACAAATGATCAATTGTTTATCAAAACAAGTTAATTTTGATCAATTTTGAGGCGATTTTTCGAGCCTTTAATTAATCAGGTGCTTCAGCTGTTTATATTTATACAGAAATATTCAGAAAAAATTAAGAAATCGGTTAAAAAGTGGCACCAAAAACGGAGCAGGAGCGTTTTCTGATTATTTGTGTTTCCAAATTTGAGTCATAATCAGTAGAAACTTATATTCTGATCACTTTGTAGAGAGACTGAGTTTATTAACAGCAAAATGTTTAAATCAGCTGCAAAATAAAAGGAATAATGATTAAAAACACATGAATCGCTGCAGGCAGAGCACCGTTTCTCTGTTATTGCTTGTGGTACGTCCTGGTTCTGGACTCTCTGACCGGTCCGTCGCCTCTCAGGTGAACCAGCCCAAGTTCAACCAGCGGCGCATCAGCAGCGCCAAGTTCCTGGGCGAGCTCTACAACTACCGCATGGTGGAGTCGGCCGTCATCTTCCGCACCCTCTTCTCCTTCATCTCCTTCGGCGTGAACCAGGACGGCAGCGCCAGTCCCCTGGACCCCCCCGAGCACCTGTTCCGGATCCGGCTGGTCTGCACGCTGCTCGACACCTGCGGCCAGTACTTCGACCGCGGCTCCAGCAAGAGGAAGCTCGACTGCTTCCTCATCTACTTCCAGGTACGTCTGCCGGCTCCGGCTGCACATCTGGCCTCTCTGGTGCTCCGTCGTTGTTTATTTATGTGAAAATCTACAACAAGCTGCTCTTAAAGTCCGGTTCCTCTGGAAAAATGTGGATTAGAAGTGGATTTTCTTTAGCCGACACTCGGCCGCGCCATCGATTCATCTTAAAGGATGAGTCTGGATCCTCTCAGGATGTTCTGTGGCAGCTAATTTGTGCTAATTTAATTAATTGCACATTTGTTTAATTACATGCAGAAACAATGAAGGCCTGCAGGTAGAAGTAGAGCTGAAATAAATACTAAAAGTGATGTTGTGTGTCTAAACAGTTCATTTTTAGGGAATTTTTTGGGGTGATTTTGATCAAATATCATGATTTTAAAGTTGAAAATCTGATTATTCTTTCTGTTTTTACGGTTTTTGGCTGATAAATGATGCAATTTTGGCCATTTAAATAAAAAATACCAAGACTTTATAACTTGCTAGAGGTTTTTTTGAGGTAATAAATTAATCTGAGGTTTTATTACCAGGTAGGTTGTCACGCACAAGGAATTTAACTCGTGTTTTAGTGCAATGAATGGTAACGTGCAGGTTAAAAAAGTGCCGCAGGATAAATTAGCAGCAACAGAAACGAGGCGGTTATGAGTCACCAGGAGAGAAATGCTTCCATTATGCAGGAATGATAATCGGTCGTTAACGTCTCTAATCTCAACACACCTTCTGATTAAGTAAAAGTGAACTCAAGGTGTTGTTGTGTGTCTGCAGCGCTACATCTGGTGGAAGAAGAGCCTGGACGTGTGGACCAAGGACCACCCGTTCCCCATCGACATCGACTACATGATCAGCGACACCCTGGAGCTGCTGCGGCCCAAGATGAGGCTGAGCTGCTCGCTGGACGAGGCCACCAAACACGTCACCGACCTGGAGAGGGAGGTGCTCGTCAAGCTAGGTAGGAGCCCCGAGAACGTCCGCCGCGAAACCGCCGAGGCGCAGCAGCCGGTCGCTCCGGTCGGGCCGCGGCCCCGGCGCCGCAGCATTCCTCAGCGTGTAGGAGGCCGGCGATGCATCATCCGTCCGACAGGTTTAACGCCGCGAGGCATACCGAAGTCACGGAGTCGCTAAACGGCCCCGTCAACGGAGAGCTGGAAGAATTATAACCGTTAATTACAAAGGAATGACGTCTGCAGCAGCTCAGGGGGTTATTTTAGGTCTGCCACGCCAAACGTGTATTTTTAGTCGCTGCATTCCTTTCTAAGTCAGTGTGACTTCAGAGGCAGCAGTCTGGACAATATTCTACCATTTTAACGAGAAGTTAATCAGTTAAGTCAGGATTTCTCTGCGTCCTGCTTCTCAAACGTGAGATTTTCTTTGTTTTATGTCTTTTTTTGGACCAAGAAACACATTTGCAGACGTCATTTCAACCTCTTTGTCCTTCTGAAGGGCTTTTTAAATGTAGTTTTCAGATTCTTTACCAACCAGATTGCTTATTCTGACAAAAAAATGGCTCTATTATGCTTCAAGTTGCTGCTGAAGTCTGTAAAAGATTTAGTTTTCACAGAAAATAATGTGCTTCAGCAGTGAAAACTCCCCAAAGTTACTCATTTAGACGTCTGACTGAATTATGTTGTCATCCTGCAGCAAAATCTGCAGCTCACTCAGTGATAAAATCTTCATTTCTTTCCACAAACTGCACAAAAAAGGCAAAATCAAACAGTAAATTCAGTTTTTCCTTTGTTTTTTGGTGCTTCCAGCTTCTCAAAAGTCAGAATTTGCAGATTTTTCTTGTTTTTTGTTTTTGTTTAGATGAAACAAACCATTTACAGACATCAACTCAACCTCTTTAATCTCCTTTGGGGGATATTTTATGACATTTTCTGACGTTTTGTCGACCAGTTAGCTCATCGAATCCATCCTGAAGGGAAGCACAAGCTCTTGACACTATAAAAACACACCATAATGCCTCAAGCTCGACTTAGTTAAAGCACCAAACATGACATTTTTTCCAAAAATGTTTGTGTTTAAGCTCAGAAATATGAGCGATAGAGGCCGTAAAAACTCCTCAAAGTTACTCATCGAGACTGAATTATGTGAAATCTGCAGCTCACTCAGTGTTAAATCTTTATTTCTTTCCACAAACTGCACCAGAAAGGCAAAATCAAATTCAGTTTTTTGTTCAAATATAGTCTGATTTAGTTTAATGTTCTGTGTTTTGAACCTCTTTCAGCAGAAGTTATCATCGAACGTGGAGGAAATATTCACTCCTCTGTATTTTATCTCATCATTCTCATCTTCGTTTTAACAGAAATCCGTCTTTATTGACGCCTGATTTTAGGATTTTATCTTTTGGTGCATAACGGTTACCAAGAAACCTAAATATATAAAATAGGATCGTTTATAGTTAGAAGGCAGTATGTTCAGGATATAAAGAATATATAAAAGTACAGTTTCTGCAAATTTGTGCAAAATATGAGCCACTGAATGTGCAAATGATCCCAGAGTGAAGTGTGAGAACGTGTGGGAGGATAAAAATCCACAAAAATGTGAGACTCGTGTTGAAATTGAGACTTTTTATGGCGTGTAGTAAACGTAGACGACCACCGTGAGGCGCTGTAGAGCCGGAGGAAGCCTGAACACAGACGTGAAACGGTTTATCAAACCTGAGGATGTCGTATCTACGACGTCCATCCTGAAGAAACGTCTATGAAGATGCTGCAGAAGCTGCTAACGGCTGGTTCTGCTTAATTTAATTCCTCCAAGTTGCCAAAATGTGAATGAAAGTCTAAAGTTTCTCTCATGTGACCTAAATAATGAGATAAAAGTGACATTAAGTCAACATTAACTATAAACTAAAGGTGCTCCCGTCTGTTGGAGCTGACTGGAGACAAACAAATCAACCCAAATCTCACTTTTACGAGGTCCAGTTCATCCCAGAATTATTTATAAATGTTCAAAGTTTTGATTTACAGTGACTTTTTATCCAACCGATGAGTTTCTTCATGCTGGAGGTTAAATAAACAAGTGATCAGACTTTCGTTGTGGAGATAATGATGAGAAAAATGTACAAAAAGCATGATAAAACTAAAATTATTATGAGCAGAAATCACTATAAATCAAATTTGACTTGAGTGTGAATAATTGTGGGTTTAACTGAATTCAGCTAAATTCAGTTTCCTGCACGGGTTTAGTATAAACTGTTATTTAACTGTATTTATGGACATTTTATATGATAAGATAGACCACAAGCAAGAAGGCAAACAAACGTGAAGTCATGAGATGATCAATAAATAACAAGAAATTTGCCAAATTTAAAATAAAGTACATGTGATAATTATATTTTATTATTATAACCTTTAACTTGCTGTTAACGAGATATTTAGTGGGCATTAATCAACTTTTATTTTGTTAAAATCAAGATTATAAACAGTGTTTTTGTTTTTTCATGAAATAATAACCTTAATTTATTAATCTAAATTATATAAAGCGTTAGAAGGCAGCAAAACAAAGCGGACAAGTCGGTTTTAAAAGAGATAAATACACAGTTTAGTGAGTTTTGGGGTTTAAAAGACAATTTAAATGAATTAAAACCAGTGAAGGTTCTTGATAAAAGTATGTTTTAGTAAGAGTTTATAAGTGTTAGCGGTATAAACGGTGAATATTGAGGAAAATATGAGCTTATAAAGCAGTAAAAATGAACAAAAGTGGGATTTAAATGCCCATAAATCAACATATTTACTAAATAATTGTCGTCTTTTGATGATTTTGATTGATTCTTTCACCAGTTTGTCCTCAGAAAAGGTCTTAAATTTAACCTCATGCGGTCTTCAGAGCCTCAGATTAACGTTAACGAACCAGAATCTGATTAAAGTGAACTCTGTACGATTCACATAAACAGTTTTCATCTGCGACTGTAACAAATACAGAAACCTGAGCTGTGCGGCAGACTGTGATCTGCACCGTCAGGAATGTGAAACAGAGGAACAAAACAGCCGGCGAGGAGGAGGAAGTGCAGCAGGTGTATCTCGCTCCGATAGCAGCTCCGGCTTTGTTCACGGTTTCAAGGTGTCGACTTGGAATGTGCAGAGAAAAATGCGAACGCTCCACCCTCAGATACTGTGAAGCTGCTCAGACGGCAGCGGAAACGTCGTAAATCTGCTTTAAAAGACGCTGGAGAATCGTCACATTCCCACGTTTTCTGATAATCCAGCGATTAAAGGAGATGCTAACGGCTAATTCTGCACACTGTTAGTGGCACCGAGTTGCCAAAACGTGAACTAAAATCGAACATTTCTGCTTCGTGTTGCTTAAAAATAATATTTCCTGTGTGATTTCTGAGTAAAAGCGAGGTTTCTCCTGGCAGGAGGTTAAATAAACCCGTGAGAAACGATAGTCGGACGTTGTGTTGGAGATGCTAACGATAGAAACGTGCAAAAATAAACGACAAAAGAAGCCAATTGCCCAAATTAAAATGCACTATAAGTCAAAATTTGGCACATTTATGAATAATTTTCAGCGTAACTGTAGTGAAACTTGCTGCACTTCAAGTAAAAATGTTCATAAATCTTAATTTATGGTGATTTTTTATTTTCTCCGGCATGTTTCTGATGATTGGACACGACATAAACAAGCGACAACCGATGACAAATGTACAAAAACAGAACAGCAGAAGCTCAATGTGCTCATTTTATTTAATTTTTAAATGTGATTATTGTAGTTTATGAGTCAGTCGGACTGCTGAGGCTTTAAAACGAGGGATCTGCACGACTTAAAGAGCCTTAAAAAGCTTTAAATTAAATTAAAGCTTTAGAATAAACTGCGTCGGATCTTATTTTTCTTTTTTAAACTTGTTATTTAGGTACTTTTTTAACAATATAAGGACAACAAGTAGGAAAACAAACAAACATGAGGTCTGGGACGATCAGGAAATCGATGGAAAATTGTCTTTATTGAGATAAATTGACAGATAAACAATCGTTTATGAGAAATTCAAGGGATCCAGCAGCTCACACGTGTTGCATTTAGGAAAAACCATTAAACTAATTAACGTTCAAGGTGCAAAACTTTATCGTATTGTGTTATAACAAGTGTTGAGATGCTTATTCTGGAGGAGAACGGTTGTTTCTCGTCCCTCCAGGTGAAGCCTTGAGCTGATTAATGAGGGGAGACGGAGGTCAAGAGGCAGAAAGATCAGCAGCCGCTCGTTTAATCTTTAACACCGCCGTTAAATCTTATCGCCCGCTGTCAGCGCTGAGCGATGGCTGTCAAATGAAGCGGCTCAAAGTGTAAATGTTCGACCACAGGAACCTCGTGCAGGTGAATCGACTTTCTCCTCTGGTGTTTACGTGAGCGCCTGTGAGTTGATTGATGGAGGCCCCTCGGAGCCAAACACAGCCGCCATTGTTAGCGCTCATACCTCAGCCAGGATTCCTCAGAGTCACACGGCCCAACCTGATCGGCGGCTTCAGGCCCGGCTTCATTTCTCTGCCGTTGCGTAATTACTGTAACCTGCCTCGCTAATGAAACACCAGTTTGATGGCTTTTGTTTGAGCAAAGACGAGCTCATGGTCGACGTTTTTGTGTCCACGCAGGTCTGGCCATGGAGAAGGACGGCCGCTCCAGCGCCATGAGCGAAGGCGAGGTTCTGGACGAGGATGACGACGAGGACGACGAGGAAGGAGGCGCCGAGACCGAGGAGCAGTCGGGCAACGAGAGCGAGATGAACGAGCAGGAAGAGGACGTGAGTCTTTATCGTCGGCTTCCTCAACCAGAACAGCTGATGGCAGATAAATGGTTTCATCTGTCATCGCTTATCTGTCACAGAGGAAGATTGTGTTCAAGGAAACCTTCATTCATAAAAGGATCCACACACATGAACCAGACTGAGCGGTCCATCAGGGCCTGGCTGCAGATACGTTTATAAATGTCAGCCAGTGGTTCCCTCAGATCACAGAGCAGCAACGACAACAGAAGACGTTCAACTTAAAGAAGCTTCAATCGTATTTAAAGCTGTTGCACCAAAATGTGTTCCGTCAGAAAGGTCACCATCCATCCATCCATTCATCCAACCATCCATCCGTCCATTATCTCTACACCTTAATCCTCATTAGGGTCGTGGGGGGCTGGAGTCTATCCCAGCTGACTCAGGGTGAAGGCAGGTTCACCTGGACAGGTAACCAGTCTATCACAGGGCTACACTTAGAGACAGACAACCAAGCACACTCACATTCACACCTACGGACAATTTACAATCACCAATTAACCTCAGCATGTTTCTGGACTGTGGAAGGAAGCTGGAGAACCCGGAGAGAACCCACGCTGCACGAGGAGAACATGGAGACTCCACGCAGAAAGATCCCGGGTGTCCTCACCGGGACGTGAACCTTGTAGCTGCGAGGCGACAGTGCTGACCACTGAGCCACCTTGCAACCCAGTAATATTTATATAACTGATTACGACCCTACAAAAACTAAATAAAATGCAGTTTCACCAGACCACTACCTATTAAGGATGAGATCTGACAGCGTTATTATTATTTATGGAGGATAATCTGACTAATGTGCTTTACAGAACTCAACCTGATTACTGCAAACATTAAAACTAAGACACGACATTATTGTTCTTATGGAGGTTAAGGTGATTTATTTAAATGTTTTGGTTCTACATAAATACAGTTCCTAACACACTTAGCAGCCCACCTGTCCCCCTGGTGAGCATCGAGCGGTGTACAGATGATGGATGGGAGGATATTTAGACCATCCAGCACCATGAAGTGCTTTAATGCTCTCAGTGTTTCACTATTTTGAACAGGAATGAGGAATTTAGACTGAATTCAACCACTGAAACTAACTGTTCTGTTCAGGAAATAGAGTAAATGACCAGAATTTAACATCTTAATAAAGACATAATTGTGTGCTTTACTGTTTTTTCAGGGGTTTTTTTGTAAAACAGTACATTTGAAAACTCCTGGATGACAACAATAATTATATTTTAGCATTAAAATGATCATTTGGGTTAACAAGCTTCTGCATTCTGGTGTATTAACCGTTACAGAAACATAAGAAATGATTTAATGCTGTTAATTTAGGGCATAAGCCTGACGTTGGGTGCTGGTCTGATACATTTGTTAAGCTCTGTGTATATATGAATACCCAACAAATAGAAGCTTTTCCATGTAAATCGTTTTGCAAATTGGTTTGAAAACCTACAGTAAAAATCAAACTTGCGTCGTGTTGGGTTTGTTCTCGGTGTGGCGACAGCAGATCAGGTGCGAGGATTCGTTTCTAGATACGTCAAGAAACTGAAAAGCTTGAATCTGAAGCTCATTAATCAGCGTTTGTGTGTTAACGAGCTGTTTCTGTTTTTGTTTAAATCTCCACAGGAAGGATCGGAGAACGAGGAGGAGGAGCGGGAGGAAGAGGACGAGGAGAACACCGACTATCTGACCGACTCCAACAAAGAGAACGAGACTGACGAGGAGAACAACGTAAGACTCAGATGCTGAAATCTCTTCAGTAGCAGCCTGTGAGATTATTTTAACTTTAGGTTTAAAAAAATCACAGTTTTTTAAAGATGTGTTGATGGTGCAGGAGGTCACCATCCGCGGAGGAGGACTGAAGCACGTGGCCTGCGCCGAGGACGAGGACTTCATCCAGGCTCTGGATAAGATGATGCTGGAGAACCTGCAGGTAAGACGTCCAGCCGCTCACCTGTCGCCCAAACAAGGTGTTCACATCCTTTACAGCTCTTCAAAATAAGAGCATCGTGACCCCCGCTGGCCTGGAGCTGGTTGAATGTGTGCAGCTTCATACGTAATAAATCAGAAATCGGTCGAACAGAAGAAACTTGTTGATCTGAGACTAAAAAATCCAACATTCAAAGTCTTGTCTTTGTATCGGAGCAGCAGAATTAAAGGTTGTGTAACAAATGAGGCTGAAATCTACTTTATACCAACATTTTTAAGCTTCGTTTAACCTCAAAACTTTGCCAGACGTCCACTTCATTTGTCCAAGTGCAATGTTAGCTTTTAGCATGTTAGCATATAAACTTGTGAATGTGTTAATGAAGACTTTAATCAGCCCACGTTGACTCTTCTTGATCTCTTTGCGTCCCTGCAGCAGCGCAGCGGCGAGTCGGTGAAGGTCCACCAGCTGGACGTGGCGATCCCTCTGCAGCTGAAGAGCCAGCTGAAGAAAGGCGGCTCCGGCCAGTCGTGCATCGGCGAGGCGGAGTCGGACATCTCCGACACCATGCAGTTCGTCATGCTGACCCGCAAGGGCAACAAGCAGCAGGTGAAGTTTGACCCACGGTCACAACACACATTTACACACACTGACGTTTAATTCACCCGCTAAGTGTAAATACTGAGGTTAAGGAGCGATTTTATCAGATTTAATTCACATATTGGGGATTAAAACTCAGTAAATATCATAAATAATCCTGCTGTAGCTCACTGTAGTGTTCTGAATGTCAAGAGTATTCATTTCATTATTATTATCATATTTAGAATTATCTCCAGAACCAACATAATGAGAAACATCTGACATCACCGACGTTATGCGACTGCAGAAAACTTCATCGTCTGGATTTGCAGTTCTGTGTTTTCTAAAGCAGCAGGTTCTGTTTCTCGCTTGTTTTTAAAGCGTCGGGCTGCATAAATGAGCCCAGAGGTTGTTGTCGATTAAAGAAAGTCTTGGATTAAACAGAACCAGGACCGTAGAGCAGCTTTGTTAAAGTACATGTAGGGAGGCAGCGATGCTCTTGTGTCGCTGAATGAAGCTTCCCTCAAACACACTCGGCCCAGTGTGACCGAAACCAGGAATAATATTGACTCTGGACGCCGGCGCTGAGCTCGTACTGGGCTCTTTGTGACGACGGTTCAGGGTTGAACCAACACGCCGAGGAAACTTCTGCACAAGTTAAAACTTGGCTTCAGACTACGACTGAGAATCATTGGTCAGAATAATCGATTAGTTCGGTTTGTAAAATGTCAGGAAATCGTGAAAAGTGTCAGTTTGTTGTCATTAAGGAGGAAAGAAACCAGAAAATATTCACTTCTAAGAGTTCTGTGAATGTTTGGCAGCAGCTGTTGAATAAATGGTTGAATGCTGTAAAATTCAAAAACTGCAAAAAATAACAGCAAATATCCGTAAAATACGACATTTTTTAGTTGATTTTGGTTAAATTAAATCCAGTAAATTTTATGGCCACACATTGTTAAAGAACAAAACGCTGTTTGCAAAAATGTGGACAATACTTTGAGTTTGTCTGTTTTTTTTTGTTTTTTTACAGTCAACATGTAAATTACTTGTTTAACAAGAAAAAAGAAAATCTGTAAAACAGCAGTTAAAAAAATAATTTGCCATTTTCAACACTTAATATATGTATATTTTTCTTTCCAATAACAGTAAAAATCTGTAAAATAATATTTTTTTGCAGATTTTATTTAAAACAACAAAGGTGTAATTTTATGGTTAAATGTTCTAAAAGAAAAAATACTAAAAATGTAAAATATCGATAAAATATTGACTTTTTTGCTGATTTATGCTATAAAATAGCAATAAATTATTTTTAAAATAGTTAAAAATATTGTTTTAACCTTTTTTTTAACAGTGAAGCTGGAATCAGATAATGTAGTTATTTATTTTTATATTTTTTTCATAAAGTAGCTTACACGGATTAATTAATTATCAAAACATTAAGTAGCTGAGAAACAATCGATTAATGTATTTATTGTTGATCTGCTGTTTTTATAGGGATTTAAAAAGTGGTTTTGGTTTCACATAACGGAGCCTCCAGCCTAAACATTGTCCTTACGTTAGTGAAGTGACAGCAAACATCTTGACTCTTGAAAGAATAAAACTTTACACGACTATAAATCACAATAAAGCAGCTGTAAGTGAACCATGTGTTGTCAGAGAGGAGGCTGTGTCTGTTTCAGGACACCACGAGGAGCTTTCTGGCCCGTCAGGGGTTAAAGACGTGACCGTGGTCGAGGGTCGAGTATATAAAGACGCTGGTGTGTGCCGAGCTGCTGCTGGAATGCGGTCTGAGGCCGAGCTGGTTGCCGCTCCGCTGGGTGTGTCCGGCTTTCTGCAGCTTTAATGAAGCGCTCAGTCCACAGCCGGCTGCTGCAGCGCAACACAGAGCGTCCTTGTTGCCGCGCAGACGGGAAAATGACATTTTTCAGTCCGTAAACAGGCGCAGGTTACTGAGCACAAGCTTCCTGTGTTGTTTGGTGGACGTCCTCGCTGCTGTTTGGGACGAACCAAAGCATTAAAACACAGAGAATCACTGCCTGCTGTTTGAAGGCAGCTTCAGTTTGTATTTTATTCTGATGATTTATTTACTTGTCATCCAGAGGCGATTATAGGTGATCAAGAAACCAATATACACAATAAATATTATACATTAACAGCATGAGGTAGTCGGTTACTTTATTAATTAATCACGATTGCTAGAACTGAATAGGAATAGGAGTGATGATGTCAGAGGGTCACATGATCGATCAGCTGATTGAGATCGATCAGTTTGTCTCCTGCTTCTTCTCCATTCTGTTAGTTGCCAACTAAGATCCAGATATTAAAGCATTTTTAATCGTTGTTTTCCAGACTGTGTTTCAGGTTCATCCGTGGCTGCTTCCTAACTTAGCCGCTAGCCGCTAGCGTAGCCTTAGCTGCCATGGGAGCAGCTAACGTCCTGATTTGTGGAGACGTTGGTGCTTCTAGTTCAGTTTTTGCAAGTTGTGTGTCTGCTAGAGGTGTTTCTGTCAGTTCGAGCAGACTTTTTAACTTAATCTGACTTTAAAAGATGTTACGCTGCTACAGTTAGCATTAGCCGCAAGCAAAGAGGCACAGCTAACCTCCTAGCGATAGCATAAACCTAGCACCATCAGCAGAATAAGCCGCACCGGCACCAACACGTGAATTATTGAGGCAGTTTCAGTCTAAGTGTTTATTGGTGTTTATTGCAGTTTCAGCTACGCCCGCTAACTCACGTTTAAACTGCAACAGTCTGCTAATGCACTCGTCTGATTGGCTGTCACAGGTGATGTGTAACCAATCAGATCTCTGTTTTATCGTAAATCAATAAAGACATTTTAGTTCGTTAGCTTGGAGCCTGGAAAATTGTGATCACTATTTGCTCACTTTTTTGTGAACTAAAGGATTAATTTTTAATTTAAAAGGCGCTTTAGAATCAATTAAGAATAAAAACAATGATTAGGAACTGATTTTGAGGAAGTGTTTTACTTAAAGGAACAGTTCAAAGTTTGTGCAAGTGCACATCTTTGCTTTCTTTCTTGAGATTAGAAGAGCTGATGGATGTGGGGAGTGTCAAGCGTTAGCCAGTTAGCTTAGCATTGAAACAGCTAACATGCTCGTGACATGAAAAGAAAATTCATGACTGAAGCTTTAAACTATTAGCTTTACAACAAAAACCCAAATGAGCTGAACAATCATCTGCTGCTGCTCGATGTTTTAAATGTTTTTGTTGTTGTTTGTTTGTTTTGGACAGTATAAGATCCTGAACGTGCCGCTGTCGTCCCACCTGGCGGCGAATCACTTCAACCAGCAGCAGGCCGAGCAGGAGGAGCGCATGAGGATGAAGAAGCTGACCCTGGACATCAACGAGAGGCAGGAGCAGGAGGACTACCAGGGTACGGCGCTGGTTCTGTTTAATGGGGGAAACTTCATCAGCTTAACGCTAACGTCAACGTAGCGACGACGCTAATGAAGAGATGATTCACAGATATATGCAGATTATTGAGCAACACTTAAAACTGCTCATTTGTTTTACATTATTTTTCATTCTTTTGACATAAAATGTGAGATTTCCTTTTATTTCTTGCTTTTAAAGTTAATTTTTTTTTTGTTTTACTGGCGTTTTAGTTACAAATACATCATCAGGGACTGTTTCCATCGTAGCTGTCGGTTTAATTTATGAGTTTTTTGATCTATAAAACATCAGAAAATGACAAAAGATGCCCATCAGTGCCACAAGATGCTCAGTTTGCTGCCATAAAGGAGCAACGAAACCCAGAAATTTATGAAGATAATTTTATTTTTGGACTTTTTTTTTTTGTTTTCTTTGTCCAAGCAACTGTTCAGCATCCAAATGTATTAATTTAATGTCATGTAAGACCAAGAACAGGCAGCAAACTCTACATTTAAGGACCTGAAACCATCAAATATTTGGTGTTCTTGCTCGAAAAGTAGCTCTAAAGCTGTTATTAGTCATTATTAATAAGTTATTGCAGCTCCACAGGCCCTCTGACTGATGTCAGCTCCTCAGATGTGAGAATTTGCAGTTTTCCTTCTTTATTTTTGCACAATTGGAAACCAAATATCTTTGTGTTTTGGGATATATTTGGGAATTTCTCTTTTATTTTCTGACCTTTTAAGGACTAAATGGTTCGATTTTCAATTAGTCCAAGATTCCATTTTCATTTTACTGCCACTAAAGAGGAAAGAAACTCAAAAATATTCCCGTTTGAGAAGCTCAAACCGATCCAAAAGGTTAAACTAGCAGCTGATCGGTGAATCTTTGATCGATTAACCCTCCTTCCCCCTGCAGAGATGATGCAGTCTCTGGCTCAGCGTCCGGCTCCGGCCAACACCAACCGGGAGCGCCGGCCTCGGTACCAGCACCCGAAAGGAGCTCCCAACGCCGACCTCATCTTCAAGACCGGAGGAAGGTGAGTCCGGACCGCCGACAACTCAGAGGACCGGCAGGAAAACACACGTGTTGGGTTCGGGTTGATGACGGTGTCTGACAGAACCGACGTGTCTTTGAACAGAGTGAAAAGGGAGAGAAATGAGAGGCAGGAGGAGCGAGAGAGGAGAGAGAGGCAGGACAGGAGGGTGAAGCAGGAGAAACACCAGATTCATGACTAGCTAGGGCGAGAACATCTGGAGCTGCAGCGCATCCAGGACGCTTTAACGAGATCATCGTTTAGCTGTTAGCGGTACAGCTGGTTAACAGGAGTTTATAGTTCTGGTTCCAGGAGGTTCAGGTGAGGTTGTTCTGGAAACCTTCATGTTTATACGTCATTATCAGTCTGTTGCATGTGTTTAATGAATCCCCGGCAGTTAAATATTCACAGCTCTGGCAGAATAAAGACACAGAAACATGCTCGTTTTCCTTTGGTTTCATATTCTGGTAGGTTCATCTGTGTTTTTCTACAAATGTGAGTTTTCAGGGAGATGTTTGGCATCAGTTACCGTCATAAAACCAAACAATACACCTGATAAAACGCCTCAGTTTCCATTTAATCCTCCTGGTGCTGCATTTTATTCCATCTTTCTCTTTAAAACTCCAAAACCAACAGTGTCAGCTTCCTAATGAGTACTGTTGTTACACCATAGAGCTCCACAGTTGTCCAAAAGCTAAAAACACACCAGCTAGCCTCTGTGCTGCACTCACTCCTTACTTTTCTAGTTCCACGAACACACCCTTTAGTTAATTACTAATCAGCCTATTTACACCAAATGTGGAGTAACGTGCTGCTGAAACTAATCCAACGCCTCGTTTTCTTTAGTAAAATGACTGTCAAGCAGTTTTAAGTTCTTAACTCTGTTTAAAAAGTTAATTATTAATAATTTTGCAGGTGTTTTGGTGTTGTTGTCCTGACACGAGGAGACTTCTTAAAAGGTCACATGATGATACAAGAAAATATCAAAGTTACTGAATATGAGTCCAGTTGAATGCCTCATTAAGACATGAAAGGAATACAGGACACATTTATCAAAAGCTGAGTTACAGAGCAAGAAGGGAACGAGTGAGTGAGGCCACCAAGACACCGATTAGTCCTCTGAAGGAGCTAGAAACTGCTCGTCACCACCGTGCTTCATCATGATGCTGCCACCACCGTGCCTCACAGTGGGGATGGTGTGTTTGTGATGATGTGCAATATTTGGTGTCAGCCAGAGATAGCTACTAGTCTGAGGCCCCAAAAGCTCAAATTTGATCTAATTGGACCAAAGAACCTTCTTCCAGGTGGCTTTAGAGTCTCCACCTGTCTTCTGGTGAACTCTGGTCCAGATTTAAGAAGATTCTCTTTGTCTCCCATAAAGCTTTGACGATTGACGAACAGACAACAGTTGTTGTATGAACAGTCTCTAACATCTCAGCTGCTGAAGCTGGAAACTCCTACAGAGGAGTCAGAGGTGTCTTGGTGGCCTCTCTCACTGCACACCATCTCCACCATGAAGCACGGTGGTGGCAGCATCATGATGGTGGTGAATACTCGCTCGTAACTCCTTCAGAAGTGTCAGAGGTGTCTTGGTGGCCTTCCTCACATGTTTCCTTCTTGCTCAGTTTTTGAGGACGTCCTGTTCTAGACATGTACCACATTGCTTCCATCCTTCATGGTGGACTCTAAGAGATGTTCAGTGATGTTTTTTGTAAATTCTAGCTCAAATAGCCAAATTAAACTGACCATGATTCAAGGCTGAACAACAACAAAAGCTGAACACTATTTACAGGCACTCTATGTTCAGATAGAGGTGCTGCTACAACCAGGGTCAGACTTTGACTTCTGCCGCGACCCGGCTGGTTTTCTACAGTAAATGTTCTGCTGTGTCCTCCAGGAGACGCTGATCGGAGTCTGGGCCCGGGCTGAGCGAGCGAGCACGAGAACGAATGAACGAGCAAACGAGAGAGAAAGAGAAAGAGAGCGACAAGAAAAAAACGAGAAGATCGGAGGGGAAAGCCGGTCGGAGCGGGGACCGAGTCCTCCAAGACGCCCACTGATGCCGGATCAGAACCGACCCCTGACCTGAACACTCACTCGAAGCCCGAGGAGGGGGGAGGCAGCGCCGGGGAGGGGGCCGGGGTCGGAGGTCAGGGGTCACACATGGGCTCTCTTTCTTTTTTGTCTGTTGCCTGAGATGACAAAAAAAAATTTATTAAAAAACACACAACTGTCTGGACGAGAACTGCAAACATCTGACCGGCAGGGGGGCGGACCGGACCAGGCGGGGCGGACGGATCGGACCCGCAAAACGTGGAGGGACAACACCGACTCACATTTAGGAGTTCAAACCTGCGAGTGCACAACATTTACACGAGACTAGCGACGGGGTTTTGTTTTTGTTTCATTTTGGACTAGAACCGGGAGACGCGTCTCGGTCTGAGAGGCGGCGCTGGACGGACTGTCGGCCCAGAGCTGCACAGGAGGACGGGATGTTTTGTTCACGACACACGTGGACGGGTTGATGAGAAAAAGTGGCTGATGGGGTGAAATCTTGTTCTGGAGGCCTCGTTGATTTACAGAAGCAGATGTTAGTCGAAACCCCCCAAAAATATTCAGTTTGTTTCACATTTTTTGATGCTTTTGCTTTAAAAAAAGAATAAAATCAACAATCTGTGTCCACGATTCTTTCTGTTTTGGGTTCAGAGGGTTTAAAAAAACAACTCAAAAGATAATTAAATACCAGTTTTGTGTTCACTGTTGGTTTCTGCTGCTGCTAAGCGGCTAAAAAAATCTCCTCGAGGCCAAACAAACGCGGCATTTTCTGCATATGTTCTTGTGCAGATGAAGTAAGCAGAGCGAGGCTAGCTGTTTCCACCCGTTTCCAGTCTTTGTGCTAAGCTAAGCTAACAGCTTTAGCTCCGTGTCGACCCTGCAGACATGAAATCGATCTTCCCGTCGCTCCGGGCCGAAGCGAGCGAGTTCACGCCACATACCAGAACCGGCTCTAAATCAGAACAAGACTTTCACTCCGTCAGTCACTTTTTTCAGTTTTTTTCAGCCGGAAGACGTGGACACCTGCTCACCGATGGACACCTGAGTGTACATAGTCAGCGTTTTTTCCAAACTTCTATCCAGCTAAAAAACAAAACATTTTTAACCTGGAGCATTTAAAGTTTGTGTAGTAACGTGATCAGAGTTTCTTCTTCTTCTTCTTCTTCTTCTTCTTTTGATTAACCGTGTGCCTGAGAGTCCTCCTCAGTGACGACTGTTTTTATTTTCATTTTACCTGTTCAGCCTGTAGATGGATAAATATTCTGTGCTTCTTCTTTCTGCTGCTTGATGCACCAACTGTTTGCTGTAGTAGAAAAGCTCGACTTTAGTTCGTCTGTGTTTAGAGTCAAAGCTATTGTTCTGTTACTGCAAGCGAAATGAAGAAAACAACGACGACGACGACCGGCCTGCTGAAGCTTCGTGTCTCGACTCACGACAAAGAAAATTTACCACAATAAACGTGCGGAGGTCTGTGAATGAAGCGGGTCGTGTGTTTGTGGCATGTGGGCGCGCCTGTTTGTCGAGGCCTAATTACAAGGCAGCCAGCTTAAGCATTTCCTCGTTTCCTCTCCGGGCGCTCGTCTAAACGCTGCACGTCGCCGAGCGTGAACGAATTGACCTGTTAGAGTCGAGGGGGGGCTTCACTTGTTACTGCATGTAAAGACCAGAAGAGGTCCCACTGGAGGGTCACGGTTTTATGCCTTCACACTAAAAATCCAGATTAAATGTGCTTTAATTGGAAACGGCTGCAGATTCAAGCAAATAAACAACATGATGATAAACCTCATCAGTCTGAATTTTCTCTCATAAAGTTGCAGAATTCAAAATTTTAACTTTTAAGACAAGAACTTATCCTCTGAATAAAATACCCATTATCAAATTTTTAAAGCAATTTTTTGCTAACGATGACTCCTGAGCTCCATGCACCTCTTAAAAAAGCTGATTTC